TATCATGCGTTGATATTTTCTGTTCAGTACAATTGGTACCAGGGAATTTACTGCAACTGTTTTAAAACAGATATGCCTTGTGTTCATTTTGTATACTGCGTATAGAATTAAATTAAGACAATACAAATTCAAATTATGAATTTCACCCAGTGACCAGAATACTTTCAAAGATTAATGCTAAACAAAATTAATATTTTTAAAATATTTATTTGGTCTGAGTCCTTAAAACAACCCGATACCTTGTTCTATAGCAGGAAATAGAAAATGGCAATAAAACAAAAACAATTCTTCAACTAAAATGAACTCACATGGAAATCTTACTGTGTAGGGGGCAAAAATGCAAACAAGGATTTGACTTTTGGACACCTAAGCACAAATGTAGAGAATATTTGAGTTCCCTACTTTCAGAAAATGTGTGAAATGTAATTCATGAACAATCTCAACATGCTAGGCAGGTAAATTGGTGAATTGACAGTTGTGTGTGTGTATGCATGTGCTTGCTTTAAAAAGATTCACCACAAGGCTTCTTTGAGGATTTGGCTTCCTTTAAAAGGAATTTTTTGTTTGTTTATTGTTGTAGTTTAAGTGAAAGTTTACATTTCAAGTTAGTCTCTCATACAAAAATTTATACATGTATTGTTATGTGACCCTAATTGCCTTCCCTGTACTGTGACAGCACACTCCTCCTTTCCACCCCTGATTTCCCATGTCTATTCAGCCAGCTCCTCCTAACCCTCTCTGTCTTCTCATCTCACTTCTGGACAGAAGCTGCCCATTTAGTCTCATGTATCTACTTGAGCTAAGAAGCACACTCTTCACAAGTATCATTTTATGTCCCACAGTCCAGTCCAATCGTTATCTGAAGAGTTGGCCTCGGGAGTTGTTTTAGTTCTGGGTTGACAGAGAGTCCAGGGGCCATGCTTTCTGGGGTTTCTCCAGTCTCAGTCAGACCATTAAGTCTGGTCTTTTTACTAGAATTTGATTTCTGCACCCCACCTTTTTCCTGCTCCATGAGGGACTCGCTGTTGTGTTCCCTATCAGGGCAGTCATAGGTGGTAGGCGGTCATAGGTGGTAGCTGGGTACCATGTAGTTCTGCTGGTCTCAGGCTGATGAAGTCTCTGGTTTATGTGGCCCTTTCTGTCTCTTGGGCTGATACTTTCCTTGTGTCCCTTAAAAGGAATTTAATAAACAAAAATTCAGTTTAGATACTATTCAGGAACACAACCATTTCATGAAATCCAGCTCATTGACATTGGATGAGGCATAGAAAGCTGAGAAGGATTCAGAGCAGATGCCTGTTTGGGCAGTCCACGTTCACTCGGTGCAAGATCGCCTTGCCATCCTCCAGGGAGCGGAAGCAGCCTAGACAGGCTACAGTCTCAGCCTCCTGCTGTCTGTAAGCTGTTTAAACATCTTCCCAAAAAACTCATATTATTTCTGATCGCACAATAAACAGATTTAAACACTGAATTAGGAGGGACTGAAATGTTTATAGTTTTAATTGTCCAGGATGTTTTACAATTATATTTAATCTTCAATGTAATAAAAAAAATTATTACAAATGAATATCAAAACAAACAAAATTCTCCACTAAACCAGTACAAAAAGTAAATCTGGATAACCACCTTCTCCCATTGTTTGATAAGTACACACAGTTGCTGCAGTTCGAAATGTTGTACAGTTTTAGTAGGGTCCCGCTTTTATAAAATATATCTAGAAGAAAAACTTCTAGAATAAAGTGCCCCAGATATTAACACTAGTTGCCTCTGAGTAGCGGAATTTCAGTAATGGGATTATGTTCTTTTCTGAGTGTTTCTGATCTTCAAAAATTTCCTGCAGTAATAACCTCACAAAAAAACCAAACCTGTTGCCACCAAATCGATTCCGACTCATAGCAACCTTATAGGACAGAGTAGAACTGCCCCATAGAGTTTCCAAGGCTTTAATCTTTATAGCAGCAGACTGCCACATCTTTCTCCCGAGGAGCGGCTGGTGGGTTCAATCCAATGACCTTTCCATTAGCAGCCGAGCGCTTAACCACTGCATCACCAGGGCTCCTACAAGAGTAAACGTATCATTTATTGAGTACATATTAGGTGCCAGGCAGTGTGTACATGCTTTCCTTGTCTCTTAGAATCCTACATCTTTACAAGGTGGGTATTATTATCCCTGTAGATGTGGAAGCAGTGACCAAGGCAACTAACAGATCAGGGGTAGGGAGTGCAACTTAGGAATATCTGTCTTGTAATAATTCTGCTACAACTGAATTTTAATGTGGCTAGGAAAAAAAAAAGTAGTTAAAATAAATGTAAATGCTACATAGCCAGATGATAAGCTAAATGGAGACAATATGAAAAACCAAACCCAAACCCATTGCCGTTGAGGCATTTCTGACTCATGGTGATGCCATATGTTACAGAGTAGAACTGCTCCATAGGATTTCTTTGGCTGTAATCTTTACAGAAGCAGTTCACCATGACACTTCCCAGAAATCCTGTGAGATAGGTACTATTTTTATCTGTTTTGCAAATGACAGTACCGAGGCCCAGAGAGGTAAAGCAGCTAATCTGCACCATAGCTGGTACCTTAGAGAGTCAGGGTTTGTCTGAGGCGAGTACTAGCTCTTAGCCACCAAACTCTTCTTCCTTCAAATTCTGATAGTCAAAGTTCAGCATCACAGAAAGTATTTGAGCAACCCTGCGAATTCATTTTACCAGGATTTGACCTTCATTGTTTCTGAGGATTCTGTCAAGATGAGATATAGTTTGTAAATGAGGCTAACACAATATGATTCTTCTCTACAGGTTGCATTTCGTAACCCAGGTCATTTGCTCATGGCTGTGTTTTATAGAGTTTTCCTTAAATTGTTGGGGTGTGTGGTGGTGGGTATAACATCTATCTCAAATTACTGCTGTGTTAGACCTTGGGGAAAGGTCTTCTGAGGCCAGTGGGGAAGCTCCTTGAACTCTTTCTAATCACTAAACTGGGTAATCACAAGTCTAAAAGTGGGGAAAATACCAAAGTTTTAACTTTGAAAACACAAATCCAGCTTTGTTTTAGAAATTACTTGCAACACCCTAAGCCTGTGATTTATAACATGTGATAACATGTAGGTATTTTACTTCAGATTAAAATTATTCCAGGGTCTGGAACATAGTAAATGCTCATTAAATAGTTGTTTAATGACTGAATTAATGACATTATTTATAAAATTTTGACCAACTAAAAAATGAGCTATGAGCAATCTCAGTGTATATATGAGGGTAACAATAATATATAAGTGTATCCTTGGTACCTTACAGAGGGCATGCATATCTCCATAAAAATATTTTTTATGTTCATAATATCTTTTATCTAAAGATCTTAATGTTTCAGACACGAGTTAATTTTCAAAATACCACTCTTAGGAAGGTGAGTGACATACTCCTCATTTATAGATGAAGAATTTGTGGTTGAGACTGGTTAAGTGTGACTAACTCAAGATTAATTAACTGCAGTGTGGGAGACTTGTCTCCCGCTTTATTCTCTGCCCGTGACCTGCTCTTTGACCTTTGGGAAACATGTAGCCTCCTACTGTCCAGCCCTCCCTCTTATAAAAAAAGGGAGCATTTCTGATTTAATTACCCACTTTAAAGGAGACGTACTAGCCTAGCTGTGTAAGCATATTTTGTTTCTAAGTACACAACTAAAGTATTTCTAGCCATTTGGCCCCAAATACTTCTTTGACTTCACACAGTTCCACAAAGTGCACACAAAGCAGATGGCACAGACAAGCACATGATTTATTTACAGCCAGTAGAGTAGATGAAGGCATATGGGCTAACCCCTCTTATACCCACTCCATGGGAGCCATTAACACATCCACTTAGATGAAAGCGTCTCAGGGTTTTGCTGTGGACATTTCAGTTACACTCCCCAGAAGCATCACCATCTGCCCAGCCTCCTCCCCAAGGCCCTGGCACCATCCCCTTCTGCCCAGTTGGTCCTGGGCCCTGCTCCTTCAGAATGCCCTTTCTTCATTTACATACAGTGCTGACAGCAGCTGCTGTTATTCACTTAATTCATTATAATTCTAAACCTGTCTAACTTCCTCCCAAGGATGTAGAAGACTCTTTAAACGGTTGCTCTTGGGCAGTTTAGTCCTACTACAGTTCCACAGACGTTTTTGAGCACCTCCACAAGCTAAGCTTTCTGTTGAGTCCTAGAGTGCAGAGAGTCCTAGGACCTGCTTCCTGAGAGCTGACACATATTTTTCTTCCTTCTTGCTGTGGTCTCAAGGCTGCAGCTTTCCTTGTCATCTGTGATGCCTGAGAGCCAGCTGCTGTCAGGCAGCAAAACTTTATGCATCAGATGTAGCAAACACCACCCTCCACTTTCTGCACCAAGGAATTATGGGCATGGTCTTATTCTTTCTCAAATATTCCCCTTCTGTGAATTATTATTTACTATATTTAAGGAGCAGTGATTCAGAAATATTTTCTACCCAAAATGTTTTTGGGGAAAGTCATTTTTGTTTATCACCCCTCTTCCCAAGATAAAAACAACAACAACAACAAATATCAGCTAGAATGTTATTTTTGATAGTGCATTGTTGGGTTATGGAATTGAAAGAGGCTTAAAAATCCATTCAGATGACCTAGTGTGGGTGTTTTTGGCTACATAATACATAGTAATAAATATAGTATTTGTAGGGGGTGTTGCCTTTTTCAGGTTCTACCACATGCATTTCTTCATTTGTGCCTCACAACAGTTTTTCTAGATGGACAGAGCAGGCTTATTAACCCATTTTATTGGTGAAGAAATAGACAAGTACTACAGATGTGGTCTAGCCTGGACACACATAGTGGCATACGGACCTCCTTGGCTTCCCTGGCCTTGTGCAAATGATTTTTTTTAATCCTACAATAAGGCTTTACATATAACCCTAACAGATAATAACTTTTTCTTGGTTATTCTTCCAGACTATTATGGCCTTTGAGTGTTGATTTTGTCATCCAAGGGTTTGCAAGTCTTTTTTTTTTTTTTCGCTTTGTGTTATATTAATTCATATCACCATAGACATTTTTGCTGTAGTCATTAGTACTGCAGAAGATCAGCCTGTAGAACCTCTGTGGGTCGTTGTCTTGTTCAGAACTTGTTTCAGTTGCAGGAACAGATACTTCCTCAAGATACTTTGGGTAAAGAAAGTTTGTTGCTGACACATGGAGATACCTCAGAGAATCTAAGAACAAGAAACAGCAGTGAGGCAGCCTTCATGGGAGCATGAAAGCTTCTAGAAATGGAGCCCACTCTTCATCTCTAAGTCTCTGATCTCTGCATCTTCCTGCCGGTCTGCTCCCTTCTTCAGATCTGTAGACCAGCTACCTCTGCTTGTCCTTAGCTCAAAATGGACCCACAACCCTCAAGTCCACATGATCTGTAAACTTAGCAATCCATAGCTAACTAGTAACAGCCTCTCCATTTTCTAATTCCAAATTCCTGGTAGAGCAGTCTGATTGGCTTAATTTATCTAGTTAAGCCAAGCCACACAACTTATAGTTGCTAGCCAGCATGGGGATGGGCCTTCCTTGGGTCAGTTTCACCCGTATCCAGTCAGATGCAGCTTGGATAGGCTATGGTCACATGGCCTGCTGCTGAGCTGTGGGCAGGACAGATTCCTAGAAAACAAGACAAGGGTGGTACAGTCACTCAAATACTTATATATAGTACGGTTGTGGCGTGAGAGACCTCAGAACAGAAAACGATATTCTGCCTTTGTCCTTAAACAAGTCTTTTTGTGAAAATGGGTTCTGTTAGAATGAGGAGCACAGAAGCATCTTGACCATACAGCCCAATGTTTGTTATACTGATATTTATAGGCCCAAACCCTATGTTATATGAACACTCCCAGCAAATAAGCTACTGTCTGTTATGGCATATTTAAAACCTTTCCAGTTGAATCTAAATTTTGTGACTTAAGTAAAATTAAAGTCTGTTTACTTCCTAGTTCTAGCAACTGAGTAAATCATATGGCATAAGAAAGCATCCCTCTTTCTTATGTAGCTGAAACTGAGGTCCCAGGATGAATAGTTTCTGACTACATGCACATTCAGCAGGGCAGAAGGCTGAGGACAGCCGTGTTTGCAACATACATCAGCTGGTCCTGGGCAAGGCCTGCTCCCTGTGCCAAGCAACTCCAATTATTCTTTCGTAAACACACTTTTATTCATTGAGGAGCAGTTGCTTGCCAATGCATCATACAATTATATGGTGAATGAAGAACAATGGATGCGTTGTAGAAATATTTTAAAACAAGTAAACAGCAGACAGTGCATAGGAAAAAGGCCGCAGCTCCAGAGTGAGGTTTGCTGATCTGTGGTATTTAGCAAAGTGCAGGCTGTAAATAAGGGTCCAGAAGGACAGAAGCCTTTGTTTCAAGCACCCCTTCCTGGAATGGGCCTGTCAGTGTGTGGGTGGGTTTGGAGGAGGGGCACAGGGAGCAGGGGCATGTAGGAGTATAGGAGGGTGGGTGCATTAAAAAAAAAAAAAATACCATAAATTGGTTGAGTTAGTGTTTTTTGAGTTCTGAACTGGAAAGGAACATGGAAATAAAATATACATTTTTCAAGGAGGTTAGAATTTGGAGTTTTGGGTCACTTGAGATGAAAGAGGCCAAACTAAAATGTCTAGGAGTTTGACAGTTCACAGAGGAGGTGACTATTGAGAGGGTTTTTCCTGATCAGTACCATGAAATATGCAGTATTTTTACCAGACCAACATCAAAAGGATTCACATACCATGAGCGATGGCTTTTGTGATTTAATTTACCCTGGGTGACCCTGGATAACTATCATTGATGATTCTTATGTGAATCAGAGGGGGTTCTTACGTGAATCACATTACAGTGACAGCCAGAGGCCCCCTTGTTAGACCTGATGCGTGTGAACCAGGAGAATAGCATTTAGCATTTCCTCTCACTTCATGGTTTATATTCCCATATTTTCATCCTACTACTAATAAAATCTTTAAACCTTAATGTTTAATCATTTATCACGGGCATCTTTGTTAGGTTGTATGGACAAGATAGGATTCAGATTACAAAGCAGTTTTACTAAATTTTTATTGCTCTCTTTGAGCTGCAACCCTTTGACCAGAAGAGCTACTATCTTCATCTTCAAGGACAGAATTGTTTATTTATAAGCCAATAAAATTAGACATTATTGCCTATGTGAAGGCAGTAAGAACTAAAATCCAGGTCTCCTGACTCATGAGGTATACTTAGCGTTAGATCCGTGTTTCTCAGACTCTAGTCATTTATATACCACTTGCTGACTTTTGCCATATCTATGTAAAACCTATATTATTTATGTAATATTTTCTCTTAAATTTATTTTACGTAGTAAACTAAATGTATTTACTTTTTTAAAATTTATTTTTAGAAGAAACTTATATAACTGCCTAGAGTTGGAAACCAGTATCATTTGATATAAATAGATGGTAATTATGAAAATAAGAGTGTTAACCAAATTCTTGTAAATGCGCTTTGCCTGTGAAGACACCGAGCCTAAAGCCTCACCTGTCTCTGATGAAGAGAGAGATTAGCAGGTGGTATAGAGAGAGGTGTTGCAGACATGCTAACATCCGACAGAAGCTCTGGTGTTTGAGAAGGCTTGAAAAGGATTGAAAAAGGAATCCCCTTCTCATTTTGTGATTCTGTGTTGTTTAATACCACCTACCACCTGTCATGTGCCTCTGAAATGACCTGGTGTATCCCCAGAGCACACATCGCTCCCTGGCCCATGCTGCTAATCCAGAGAACTCAGGATTGCTGCCTTCACTATGCCAGTGAAACAGGTATAGATGGATCCAGGGAAGCTTATAAGTCGTTTATCAGGTAACCCACTGCAGGTGACCGTAGAGTAGAGAATGGCAATCAAATACAGTTCCTTCTGAAAACTTCTTTAGTTTAATGGAACTAATGTTAGGTTAGTGGAAGTTGAAAAATTGGAATAAATCCATCCCTCAACCCATTTGTTTTGGGCCACCTGATGCTGTAGTATGCATTTAACCATCTGGCAGTATGGAGGTATAGTCCCTGAGTGGTGCAGACATTTAACACACTGAGCCACGAACTGAAAGGTTGGCAAATTGAGTCCACCAGAGGCACCTTGGAAGAAAGACCTGGTGATCTACTTCCAAAAAATCGGCCATTAAAAACCCTGTGGAGCACAGTTGTACTCTGACACACGAGGCCTCGATGAGTTGGAGTCAACAGTAACTGGTTTTTTTCAATATGGAGGTGAAACCTGATTGGAAAATCATATATGTTTAAAAGAAAAAATGTTTGATTAAAGCTAAAATTTTTCCCAGTCTAAAAACATGAGAAATTTTCTTTTTTTATTATATTTATTTTTGCTTCTTTTAGAAGAATAGGAACAGGGGCGTCGTTAAACTTTGTAAGCCAACTCAAAGCAACTAACAACAGCAGCAGCCCTGTTCAGTTTATCATACATTACACTGAGGTCTTACACTGGCTAAAGTAAAATATAGTTAGTTTCATGAAGTAAGTGCTCGGTAAGTATTTCATAAATGCATTTGTGAGTTTCTTTTTAAATCCTCCTCTGGAAAAAGTTGTGTCCTTTCAAAAATCACTGGTATGATTCAGCACTTACCAGTCCAATCAGATGCTTGAGTCCGTGGGCGTGGCAGAGGCGGCGGAAGCTTCAGCAGAGTGTGTGTGGAATGCTGTTCTTTGTGAAGATGCGAAAGGTTTGACCTTCCCTGGCATGTTTTCTTTAGAGGTGTTGTGCTGGGCATCTTCCCTTTGCGCCTCTGAATCCAAACACTTCCCACCCTCTCTGCTCTGTGCCCTTGAACATCAATCTCTATGGACTATATCAGTAGTCTCCTTTGCCTCTGGCTTCTGGTTGGGCTCAGCAAGTGAGAACACTGTGAGACTGGAGGGAGGGGGAAGAGTGACATCAGGATATTCATTCCCTATGGTGTCTCTTCTGTCTGACATTGGCCTTCAAATAACGGTCACAGCTCCTGGCCGGCAGCCCTCTCCACCCACCATTTCTGTCCCAGGTTCAGGTATCCAATCCCTCACCTTTCCCTTCAGTCCTGAGGGGTAATATGCCCTGCCCCTACCTGCTGCCCCCTCACTACTGGCCCAGGGGACTGCACTAGGCTTTGTGGTTTCCCTACTCCTTGTAAATAATCCTTTATTAAATTCTCAAAGTATTGCAATTGGAGGGTATCAGTTGTTTCCTGCTGGGACCCTGACAGATAGAGCGTGCACTTGAGATTTGTTGCCTTGGTGTCTTTGTAACACAGCAAAGCTACCTGGTTCCACAGGGCTGACCTCTGACGTTATCTTTAATGGCAGCGTGTTCTATTCCAGCATGGTTCTCATCTTGAGATGCTTCAGTCACCTAGGGAGGTTGTGAAAATGCAGGTGCCTGGGCCCCCCTCCTTGACCTACTGCCTTGGGAGCCCTGAGGACAGCTCTAAGGTTCTTGCAGTGACTGACCTTTTGTAGTTCACTAGGAGCCATGGTGGTGCAGTGGTAAAGTGTTCAGCTGCTAACCCGAAAGGTTGGCGGTTCAAATCCACCCAGTGGCTCTGCAAGAGAAAGACCTGGCAATCTGCTCCTGTAAAGATTACAGCCTAGAAAACCCTATGGGGCAGTTCTACTCTGTAATATATGGGGTTGCTGTGAGTGAAAAATCAACTCAGCGGCACCCAGCAACAACAACAACAGACACAAGTATAATTTATAGTACCACAGACCTGGGCAGCCTTCTGAGCAGATAACAGATAACCCGTTGCCATTGAGTCGATTCCGACTCATAGTGGCCCTATAGGACAGAGTAGAACTGCTCCATAGAGTTTCCAAGGGGCACCTGGTGAATTTGAACTGCTGACCTTTTGGTTAGCAGCCGTAGCTCATAACCACTGCGCCACCAGGGTTTCCTAAAGGGCACTGGATTCATGCTTTTTGTGCCATTTTTTACTCTTACTTGGGGGTGAGTGAGTGACAGAGTGAGAGAAACACCAGCTGATTGCAAATAAGAATTCTAAAAAATACAATGTGAGAAAAAAATCAATTTGAGAGAGAGGAAAATGACTCTTTCAACTCCTCGTTATTAACAGTGAAGTGATGCATTTTCAGGAGTGACTGGGCGTCTCTTGCCTCACTGTGCAAGATTTTGAAGAGAAGAGACTGTTTCCTAGTATCCAGGAGTAAAGTCCAGTATCTGTCTTGCCATGGAGACGCACAGACAGGCTTTCCTCACCATCATCTGCTAAGAAAAAAATTCTTGTAGATTACCAGAGAATAACTAAAGATATGAAATGTATTCATCTAAATACTCGACACTGTTTTCTCACCAACAAGTGCTATAAATAAGTTCTCTGTTAACATAAATCGTTTTAGTAGAGCCCTTGTTACACGCCCATAAGTGCTTAGTCTCTCCCTGTCAGTTAGCAGACTGAGAAAGCATCAGCCTTCTTCTCTCCCAAGGAGAAGTGAAATTCAAGCTCAATGCCCTGAATAAAACAGATGGGTGTGGTAAACAGTGGGCCTTAGTTCCAAAACGACAGGAGTTCATAACCAGCCTGGACCAGGGGGTCTGTTTCTCCTTGTCAGGCTGTTGGGAGGATTAAATAAGACTGTAAAGTTCTTGGACATGTGAAATTCTCAGAGAGTATTATTCCCTGCCTCCAACCTCTACCTTCACCTCACCCTCATCCCTATCAGAATTCTGTTATCTTCTAAAAAGTTCACATTCTAATCTCAAGATATAAAGATGACCTGGAAGTCTATTCTGCTGAGTCAATGGGGCAGACCCCACACATGCTTCCAGCTTATAATATTACAAAATTATAAGACAAAATTTCTCAATCTCAAATTAATATTAATTCACCTCACCTTGAGTAGTGAGCCAGAACACATAGCACTTCGGTCTTCCCAAAAGGTTGAATGTGTGTCACTTTGCTGAGGGTTAACTGCCTAAGAAGGATAGTAAACAACGAGTTATGCATAATACTTTGCCATTTAGTTCATTTTAAGCCTCAGCATTTTCATGGTTTGGGTAAGTCCTTTTAGCTGATGGGTGTGGACATTAAGATACAGAATTATCCTTGATAGAATAACTTAGGAACAGGGATACGTTCAAGGAGGGCAGAGCTGAGCCTGAGGAGGAATCCACCTGATCTGGTAGTGCTTCATTGTACTGATCGGAGTGTGTCCCCGCCTCTCAAACCACCCTCTAGCTCCTCCAGGTTAGTGTTCAGAACCATCAAGACTGATGAGCTCTGGAAAGAGAACAATGGTTCTTAATGACCCCTGAAGTCATTTTTGACTGACTTTCAAGAGCCAGAAGTTACAAGCTTATGCAGTTTCGTATCTGGACACGAGGTGGTCAAAAAGGAGAAAGTTCAGTCAGGCTGTGTTTTTTCCACAACATAAATTGGATGCTGGCACTAGGGAACCCTGGGAACTGGTCTCCTAGAGAGCAGCTGCACGCAGGGGTCAGGAAGACTAGATGTCGTTTTCTCTGCAAGGTTAAACTTGATCAAATGGCAAAAGAAGGAGAATTTACAAAACAGAAAATTTGCTTACATAACGGACAAGAAATGTCTGTCTAAAACAGCGTTTCTCAAATTGGGTGATTTTGCTCCCTGTGGGACATTTACCAATGTCTGAAGACTGAGTTCCTGCTCTGCCCTATTCTACTTCCCCCTTCCCTTTGCCCCTCATCCACAGGGCCTTCAACTTCCATGAGACCTGCTGTGGACAGAAGAGAGAAAAGGAAAGTGCTAGGAAAGCAGAAACACTTTAGAGCACCTGTTGTAAAACCAATTCCGAGGTCATGCCAGCCTCCCCCTCCAAGAAGCCTTTCTTTCGTACAAACTTCCTTTTTTTTTCATTTCAGTTTTTACATGGCCTCTAATTCCATTATTTTAATTTGAGGAAATAGATGACTTTAAAAAAAAAAAAAAAAACAGTTGCTTCAGAGGGCACTGATGACTCATTAAATGATCAGTGACACATGTGTATGAATTAATACAATCAGGTTTCTCAGGCAGGGGAAAAGGGGCTTTGGAAGGGTGGTCAGGAGATAATTTGGGCACCTCAGGAAGAGGGGACGCAGGTAGGGTGTGTGGTGATGTGAAGGCAATAGGAGGACTAGAAAGGCTGCAATAGTAGCAGGGCGGAGAGGATTAAGGAGAAAGAAGCTTGAGCCACATGGACTCTTGTTCCTAAGACCCAGAGGTCAGGCCAGCAGTGGTTTTATTCTGTGTAAGAGTAGTTTGATGGGGCAGTCTGGTACTAACACCAGCAACAGCAGTGCCTATCACGCATAGGGTTGTCAGATTTAGGGGGGAAAAAAAAAACAGGATGCCAAATTAAATTTGAATTTCAGATAAAAAAACAAATGTTTTATATGTCTCAAGTTGTATATCTGAAATTCAGATTTATCTGGGTGTCCTGAATTTTATCTGGTGGTATTCAGAATGGCTGAGTGCCTGACATTTGGCAGTTCTGTGAGAAAGGTGTTATTTGCCCTACATTAGTGATGTGAAAGCTGAGGTTAAGAGGGCTTGTGGTATACAGCCTCTTAGGTGGTGGAAGAGACAGGATTCAGACCCAGATATGTCTACCTCCAAAGCTGATGTTCCTAACATCTAGACCATCCATGGAGAATGCATTCTAGAGCCAAACAGCAGGCTTACAGACTTTGGCTAGATGAAGAAAGGGCACTAGAGAGAGGTGAGGTTGATGGAGGGCTCCACCTCCCTGTGAGGCCTTTCAGAAAGGCTTGGAGAGCTTGCAGGCTGAACAAGGCTCTGGGATATGAACCCTCCGGGGCAGGCTTAGAACAGAAGCCTGGAAGAAACGTAAGAATCACCTGCTCTCCCTTCTTTATTTTATAATAAAGCTGAGACCCAACAAGGTGAAGTGCCTATTCAAATCACAGAAAAAATGATTGGCAAAGCCTAGAGCAGAATCAGGGTTTCTTAAGTCCTCATTAAGTTCTTTCCACTACATGGTGCTGACATAACAGATTCTTATTAAAACCTCCAAGTTTACACAAAATGCTACTTTATATACAGCACCCACTTAGGCTAACCTTGTGGGAAGGACCACATTCTGCTTATGAGTCACCACCCTCGTTTTCTTTTCTGTTGGTAAGTACTTCCTAGGTAGCCTGTGTTCCCAAGAGGCTGGGTCATATTTTTTATCCCAGTTCACAAAGACCAGGCAGCAAAAAGTCCCGGTTATGCTGTTCATTGCACTGGATGGTATCTGGAACATGTGCGTGTTTCCCCACCACTCGTCTGTCAGTTTGTGGTACTGTGCTGCCAGTATTTCAAATACCAGCAGGGTCATCCATGATGGACAAGTTTCAGCAGAGCTTCCAGGCTAAGACAGAGTAGGAAGAAAGACCTGATGATCTACTTCTGAAAATTAACCAGTGAAAACCCTATGGATTACTACATAATATTGTCTGATATAATGCTGGAAAGGAGCCCTGGTGGCACAGTAGTTAAGCACTCGGCTGCTAATTGAAAGGTCAGCAGTTCAAACCCACGAGCTGCTCCATGGGAGAAAGATGTGGCAGTCTGCTTCTGTAAAGATTACAGCCTTAGAAACCCTAGGGGGCAGCTCTGCTCTGTCTATACGGTCACTTTGAGTTGGAACTGACTCAACGGCAATGTGTTTGGTTTTGGTGTATAGTGCTGGAAGATCAGTCCCCAAATTGGAAGGCATACAAAATACATAATAACCACAACAATGGGCTGGAGCATACCAGCAATTGTATAGATGACACAGGACCAGGCCGAGTTTCGTTATGTTGTACATAGGGTCCCAGACCCAACTGGATGGCAGCTAACAACAACAACAGTGTATATTTCCAAAATCCTGGTAATAAGTAGAGTGAAAGAGAAACCGAAAATTTTGCTTTCTTCTGGCTTAAAAAAATAAAATCACTGGTTTCCAGTGGAGTATCCCATTCTCATTGGGAGTAGAGGAATAGTCAACAGCAGCTGTTTTTGAGCTACCAGAGACCTCTGCAGGGAAGAAAGGAATGAGTCAGGCAAGGTTGGTGCTTCTTCTCAGGTCAAGGTTGCTATCCCTCAGTTCCTCCCAGGGCCTGGGGGTTTTATGTTAAGAGATGTGCCCCAAAACCTGACTTTGCCCCTGTTTTGTTCCAAATCATTAAGTATAATTTCCCTGTATTTTCAAGACCATAATGCCTCTTCCTGGCTTTTAAATGTTCTTTTCAAGTTTATTTGGTTTGCTTTAGCAGCTTTTGATGTAAACTGTGGATTTGAGGATAAGAAGACTTCTGTAAAACCAGTGGCTATATCCACACTGTCTTATCCCCTCAGTAAAGTAGTACCTGGGAAACCATTTAGAGAGGAGAAAGTCATTCTTGGGAAAGAAGATACTTTTCTGGTTCAGTGTTCATGTGGTTTGTTCCCTTCCTGACATGGTAGATATTTTGTGATGTTTCCTTGGAAAGCAAGGTGTCCTGTATTAACATAACATGGCTTCTTAGGGAAGCTGAAATTCTGTGTGCTTTTCCACATATTGTTTCTGCAGGTTAATTATACATTTGTACTGTTTGCCACAGAAATGAAATTATTCTTGGCAAATCATTTCTGTTTTATCTCAGGATTGGTAATGTTAAACATTAGTCAGCTGTAGCCAAGGCAAAGACACCCTGTTATTCAGGTTCTTATATTACCCTTTATCTTAGTAGTTGCCCCTGCCCAAGGAGTCGCTGGCTCAAAACATTATGAAGTGGGTTACTTCCTTCCCTAATTTTAACAGTATTTATACTTGACTCTTCATAGATTGGAGAGTGTGAAACTAAAAAGCCTAGGTTATGTGATGAATGAAACTGACCAGGATCTAGACAGCTTTATAATTTGCGGTCCTCAATTCAGGGAAACTTGAGAATAATAAAGACCTCTTGGACATTTATTAATGTTATCTGTGGACTTTAAAAATGGATTGTGAGTCAATCCATAAAAGCAGCATGGTTTGAAAAAAATTTTTAATGGAGCCCAAATATTGGAAGTAGTTGAATTAATATTTTTAGAGGAGCAAAATAAACGTATACCCTGAAAGCACCTGATTCAGGAAAAGCCAAGAAACTACCAATTAACCAAGAACAGTGCTCAGAGGATAAATATAAAGAAGCAGAATGCCCTTGGAGCTCAAGCAGTGGCCTCCGAAGGCTTCTGGGAATCTACTTTTTCTAGGCA